AACTGAGAGTTTTGGGGTGAACCCTGTGGTGGGGTAAAGGGAGGCCTCTGGTGGGCCTTGGGGTGTCCAGCGGGGGAGGCTCCAGAAGGCGGCCCAGAGCAGCCCCCCTGGCTCAGGGGTTGCGGGAGACCCTGGGCTTCACTCAACACCTTGCGGGGGCGGGGTCGCTTGGGTCTGGGTCACACGGGGCGCTCTGTGCTGAAGGTGAAGGCCAGCCGTGGCCTTGGGCATCGTTCCCATCAGGTCATGGCAACTGAAACCAAAGATGAGCTGGATTCCCGTTCGCTGGGAGCGAGGAAACAAACGCTCAAAGAGCCGTCTGAGCTTCAGGGACCGTTTGGATTCTGGGTGGGGCTCAAAGAGCAGGGATCTCGCTATCAGCAGAGGGGTCCCCGAAGGGCTGGGCATCCCACCGTGCTGTGGAGAAGGGCCTGTACCATGGCCCCAGCTCCCTCCTAAGGGTGAGCGAGACTGTGCAGGTGTTTGCAGCAGTGGGGCAGGGGGCTGGGCCAGGACAACTTTCATGTAGACACAGAACTGGTATGAGGACCTGAGCACCTCCCCAATGCCAAGGGCGACTAGGTGGAATTGCTATTTCCTATCAGCTTTTCGCTCCTCCCTGCTGCTCTGGCGGAGGAGGGTGGCCTCATGGAACTCAAGAGCCGGCCAGTCCTCTCTGTGGTCACCTTGGTGGTGGTCACCTATTGAATGCAGTGGGGAGGGGCTGTTAGACCAAGACCCACAGGGTTGGGTGGAGGTGGGACAAGCAAGCATGATAAGGACCCACTCCTGCTGTCCAGGGTACCACATGCCCTCAGAGAGCATCGAGGCGGCTGGTACTACACCACTGTTATCGGGGCACCAACCCTGTAGATACCCATGATAAACGTGCGAAGGGTGTGCGGGGAGGGGCGTGTACATAATTAACTGCCCATTTCCTCCAAATTTCCACCCTCCACGCACACACAGTAACATCGTCACCCGTGGCACCTTGCTGTCGATTCTCTGGGCTGATGCACGCAAAGAGGTGAGTTTTTATAAATCGGGACTCACCTCCGTCTCTCCTGCACAGAAACAAAAAATCCTACAGCTATGCTCCTTCCCCCTGACCCTGTGCACACATCACCTTCACGTCCTTCCCAGGTGAAGAAACCTATGCAGAGCCGTTGAGTCACCCGTGCCAGCTGGGAGGCAGCGGAACTGAGAAGGAGCCTGGGCCGGCCCTGAGTCCCCATCACTCCGGGAGGACGCGCGCCAGGATTAATCAGTGGTGGTGGGACTCCAGGACCCCACGCCGGGCACTCCGTAGGGAGGCTGCCCGGATGTGGGGCTAGGACAGAGCACAGCGCGTTAGAAGTTCTCAGCACCCAGCCTGGTGCTGAGACGTGGGTGCTTGCGTGTAAATCACGGGCTTACTTCCTGCCCTGCTCATTCCACAGGCCGGATGAGGCTTTTTCCACGGAGGAATGCCTGTTGGAAACACACATGGTCCTAAGAAATCAGAACCAAGGTTAAATGAGCAAGTGCATCACTTGTTAAATAAATAACCACCACGCTCTTCGTGGAACCGAGTGGAGCTTATTATCAACGAATCAGCCAACGATCAGGTGCCACCGTTTCAGTCTGCTCTTGGCTACCCTTGGCCTCTGATCTCTGTCATCAGGCGGCGAGAAACCAGGTGGTCCCACTCACAGGCATAAAGTGCCCCGAGCAGGTTTCTCCATCCTGCTGGTTCTTCCTGGAATCATTCACCTGTCATTTAGTGCACGTGAGTGAGACCTGCCAGCTAAATGTTCACTTTACAGTCTATAAAAGTGGTCCTACACAAAAGAGAAAGCGTCTCAGGGCTCAAACCAGCCAACTCTGTATGGAAGGAGCTTGCTGCATGGAAACATTTAAAAAATATTTTCTGCCATCTTCTGGATTCTATGTATATTCAACACAGTTTTCAACATTAAAAAAACAGGCGCTATAAAAAGTGCTAATTGTGAAAGCAAAGAATGGAGAAATTGGACTTCATTTAAAAAATTTAAAAACCTTGTTAAAAGACACAGCACTGAAAAGGCTAAGTCACAGGCTGGGAGAAATATGTTCAACATATATCTAACCGAGTACTGATAAGCAGACTCTGTAAAGGACTCCTACAAGCCAATGATGGAAAGATAAACAGCCCAATTAAAAATGGACAAAAGACTTGAACCAACACTTCTCAAGAGAAGCCATACGTAAGGTAAGAAAGCACACGAAAAGGTGTGTAATAACAGTAGTCATCAGAAAAGTGCAAATTATACCCGCAGTAAGAGATTCTCCACCGCCATTAAGAATGGCTGAAATTAAACAGACGGGTGTTACCAAATGTCACCGAGAAGTGGAGCCACTGGAATGCACACACACTGGGGGCTGGGAGTACAAGAAGGCACAGCAGTTTGGACAACTGTTTGGCGGTTTCTTATAAAATTAAACACACTCCTACCTTGTGACCCGGTAGTTCCACACCTCGGTGTTTCTCCAAGAGAAAGGAAAACACGTCTGGAGAAAGACTCACACAAAAATGTTCATGGCAGCTTAAGTGACGAGCCCAGATTGAGAAGCAATCTAAGCATCCATCACCAGGAGCATGAATAAACATACTGGGGTATAAATATACAGCCAAACACTCTTCTCTGGCAGCAAAAATCTACAGAGCACTGATCTACAGCCCGGCAATAGCATTCAGCTGCGTGGAAGACACCAGGCTCAGGAGTGTGCTGTAGGTTCCAGCTCTGAAATTCAACAGCAGGCTAAACTGATCTCTGGTGACAAATTGAAACCGAGCAGGACCCTGTGGGGACTTCCTGGAGACAGAACCCACCCCCCACCCCCACCCCTCGTGTAGCTTTGCCTCTTGTTGGTAGAAAAGCTTTAGCTTCCCAGGCCCTCCCCGAGTTCCAAAGAGCAAACGTAATCAGAGAAGTGCAACACCAAAGGGAAACAGTCAAGCAAGACAAAATAATAATAGATTAGCCGTAAAACAAAGTCAAAGACCTTTAGTTCCTCCTCAGGGGCTATGGAGGATATCCTGAGTCACGTCCCTGAGCTGTTTTGCAGAGGCTAAAATGCCCACCAGGTGGAGAAAGTTAATTGTACGCTGACCACCAGCACGGAGACCCCAGACTGAACGGAACCAGAAGGTTGATGATTGAGATTCCTGAAACATCACCTTGTTACCTCACCACCAATCAATCGGCGAATTGTGCACGAGCCGATCACATACCCCATGACTCTCTCGCTCAGACTACCTTTCAAAACCCTTCCCTGAGAGCCTCCAGGGCGTTTGGGGCTTTTGAGCATAAGCTGCCCATTCTCCTTGCCGGCCTCACATCGGACACGTGCAATGAGCACTGGCCTCTTCCCTCACCACAACCTGGTATTAGCAGATTGGCTTGGCTGCACGTTGGGTGAATGAACCCAAATTCGGTTCGGTAACAAAATCAGAACCGTGGTTGCCTCCTGTTGGGAGGTGGGTGACTGGAAAGTGGCCTGAGAGACCTTTCTGGGGTGATGGACAGGTTTCACCTCTTAATTGCAGGTGGAGACACAGGAGGAGACGTTTGTCAAAACGCACTGGACTCTTCCGTAACCTGTGCATTTCTTACCGCACGTAAACCACACCTTTATAAAAGACGATGTTAAGTCACGATCTCAGAAAGCCCAAGGCAAACAGAACCCAATAGGAACCACTCTGGACTCTCCCCCACCCTAAAATCCAGCTCAAATCCCATCTCCTTTGCACCGTTCTCTCCCTCCACCCCACTCCACCCCACTCCACCCCGGGTCACAGCGGTGCCTCCCTCCTCTGGCCAATAATCCACACCATTAGCAGAGTTAACCGTGTTCATATTTACCATCCTTAGTAGACAGAGGATGGTCCCCCCCCAAAAGATGCCCATGTTCGAATCCCCCGTGCCTGTGAGTACATGACCTTACAAGGCAAGAGGGAATTAAGCTTTCTAATTAGTTTAGCCTGACCTGGGTCCTCCAGGTGGGGCCAGTCTGATCACATGAGACCTAAAAGCGGTAGGAAGAGGAGGCAAAAGGGAGAGTCAGAGAGATGCGGCCTGAGACCTGGCCCACGACTGCAGACTCTGAGGACAGAGGAGGGGCCCCCAGCCAAGGGGTGCTGTGACCTCCAGAACCTGGAAAAGGCAAAGCAATGAACTGTTCCCCAGAGGTTCCGGAAAGGAACACAGCCCAACTGGCACCATGATGAGACTGCCCAAGGATGCAGCAAAGCCACCGGCCACAAAGCGAACGTGGCCACTTCTGACACATGCACCATGGGTCTGGGATTCTACCAGAAGCCAGCAGGGCACGCGTAGACCAGGCTCTTAGGAGAACCTAGTGCTTTGTGTGTCTCCACCTCTCCTATTTGTCTCTCATACCGTTTTATATAAGTGGTTTCCTCCTACCATTTCAATCAATCCAATCTTTTGGCAATCGCTTTCAGGACAAGCGTCATTAGGGGCTGTGTCTGGGAGTTCTGCGAGGGGCTGCAGTGATGTGCCTCAGACCTGCTTAGAGCACAGGCCTGTTTCGAGCAGTCTTCACTGAGACAGCAAACCTCGAGTCCTCAGGGAGGGCACGGCAGGGGCCGGCGGGGTAACGCGAAGCTGCCTGTTTATGATGTCAGCGTGAGAGATCGATAAAGCAGTTTCAAGCATTTACCCTCCCCCCAAAGCCCTTTTCCGACGGCTAGAACGCACGCTCCAAGTTTCCTGGCACATGCATAGACCAGCGTTTCAACGCAAAGCTTCCAGGCTGCCCTGCAACCGATTTCTGGTTTGGACAAAGCCCAGTGGGATGGCGTCCACCGCTCGGAGGATCAGAGAAGCCCTCGGTCCGAAACTCATCCTTTCTCGGTAACCGCACACCTGCCCGTACCTACCGCGCGCTCTATGTCAGCAACGACGCCGACCCCAGGCCGGACAGAGGTGGACGGACGGGGGTGGGGTCTGCCTTACCTGCCTGGCTGTCCTTGGGCTTGCACTGGACCTCCTCCACACACTCGGCTGGGAACCATCCGATGTGGCCGCGGGCGCTGCCTTCCCAGAAGCCCCCTTCGCCGATGCTCAGAACTAGAGACAGATGGGGAAAGGGGGAGGGGTTAGTGGGCGGGGCTTGGAGGGCGCGGGGTGTGGATGCAGGGAGGAGGGGCCGGCGGCTCTGGTCCATTTGCTGGCTGACCATGCCTCCCTTCAGCCGTAGACGAGGGGCCTGGCAGAGTGTCCCTCGGAGGGGGCACTGCAGAGCCTCTGAGCCCCCAGGTCCCCTCTGCCCGTTAGGCCTGGGGGATAGGATGTCAGCGCCGGGCGTCCTGGCGTCCTCGTATCTCACAGCACTCGGCGTGTGGCCACTGTGTCCCGTCTCTCGGGTCCCAGCTGAGACGGGAGAGTGGGACCTCCGAGACCCCACCATCAGTTATTTCAGGTGTCAAAGTCGGGGGACAGGCCACCCTGATGAAGAGACGCCACCATGAGGTCGTGTCGGCCCCTCTGGAGCTGGGGGAGGACAGGCCAAGAGTCCAGGCCCTCAGGACCTTTGAAATTCGTTTGAGAACAGAGAATTCACAGCAGGAGACACGGAAGCAGCCTGCCTGGCAGCTACAAGATACTACCTGGACTTGAAGTGCCAGGGCAGGCTGGCCGACGCCCCACGGGCAGTCCCGGGCTTCTGGCTGGCTTATCAATGAAGGACCTGAGGATTATGTTGGTGCCGCAAGCAGCAGGGGGGCCACTGCACAGTGAAAATGCAAAGTCAAGGGTCGTGGGACAGACACAGCTGCCCTGCCTGCAGGGCTGAGGGGCGCTGGGTTTCCCCCTTCCTTGGCTCAGTGCTGGGTGCACAGAGGGCCTCACAGACACCCACTGGGGGGATGAAGCATATTCATTTTTAAACTGGACCGATGCCGAGCGTGGGTGAACAATGCAAACCCACAGACACGAGGTCCCAAGTGCTGCCCAGGCACTGCTTGGACAAATATTTTGGTTGTAAGGGTCAGGCTGGCAGGGGTAAGGTAGGGGCGGGTCTCTGTCTCTTAGGCCTGTGATGCTGGGCTGGGGGCACACCTCCACCCCAAAGCCCTGGCTCCCTCAGAGTGTATCTGTGCAGTGGGAGGTTAGTATAATCTCTGCACATCTTAACCTTCTGTAAATTACTCAGGACCCCCAGGCACCAGAACTGCGGAGAAGAGATCATGGCCACAGAAACGTCTCCTTCCATCCCTCATCTTAATCTCAAAGGCCAGATAAGGACACCTGGACCCGTGAGCTTTGAAGGTCAACAGCACAGAGTACCTCAGCTTTAGAAGTCTTTGCCTAACAATTTGAAGAAATGGCCTAAAGGGAACAGACAGGCAACCTCCCTGAGGACCACTAAGATCATAATCGCTTGAACCGTTTTCTCCAAAAATCAGTGCTGGCCCCTTACGCTCAGCGCAGCCCAGCTGACGGGGATGTACACCACGGCAGCCCAACGGAACCCGGATGTGAGAGGGTCGTCTCGGAGCGCTGCCCTGGATGGCGAGTGGAGGACAGGGACCTGCCCGGGCGCTGTCCAGCTACTGGAGCGGCCTGGCTGACCGCCAAGGGTCCACGTAGAAACTCGTGGTGGGGACCGTGCATCTGCCTCTCGTCTCTCCAGGCAATGTCAAGGGCACACACTTGGGCACAGCCTTGGGCACAGCCAAGTGACGCTGGCACCAAGCCGACCGCAGGGGTGAGCGACTCAGAGAGACAAAGGGGGCTGGGCTTGCAGTCCAGACAAACTAGACCGAAATCCCCATCCCCAGGTAGGCAGCTGTGAGAGCCTTGCCCCAAGTTACCATGTAACTTAGACAGGGGTCTTTTATGGGCTGGATCCTGTCCCTGGTATTCCTCTGTTGGAGTCCTGACCCCCAGCAGCTGAGATTGTGACTGTGCTTGGAGATGGGGTCTTTAAAAGTTACAATGGAGTCCAAATTCCATCCGGGCGGCGCCCAGTCCTTCAGCAGCCCAGAGACCATGTTGGGACAGGTTGCCCGGTCTCACAGCACAGTCAGGGCACCGAGGCAGCCATGGAGCTCCTCCTCGCCACGACCTGAACTGAGCCCCTGCGTGGGCTGGATGGCGTCCTCTCCAAACCCCTATGTGGCAGTCCTAACCCCCAGAACCTCAGAATGTGGCTGTGTTTGAAGATGGGGGTCTTTAAAGAGGTGATTAAGGTAAAATGAGGTCACAAGGGTGGGTTCTAACCCCACAGGACTGGGGTCCTTATAGGAAGAGGAGGTCAGGACACAGACACACACAGAGGGGCGACCCCGCGAGGACGCAGGGAGGAGACGGCCGTCTACACGCCAGGGAGAGAGGCCTCGGGAGGACCCAGCCCTGCCCACACCTGGGTCTCGGATTCCAGCCTCCCGGACGGGAGACAGTAAATCCCGAGGTTTAAACTGCCCAGTCTGGGGAGCCTTGTTACAGCAGCCCGTGCTGACTCACACAATGGGATCTGACACCTTCGGCCCACAGTTGCTATGAGGTTTACAAGGAAAAACGTGTGACGTCCCCAAGCAGGGTGCCTGGTAAACAGCAGGTGCTAACAAGTCTCCACCCGTATCTCCTCTGTTATGATCTCTGATGTGTGGACAAGGACACGTGGCCCCCAGATATGAAGTGACCGGTAACTGGGTCACCGGGAAGGCTCCCCAGGCTCTTCCCAGCTCAGCCTGAAGCCCTCCACGGGCCTGGGGGTGACAGCAAGGTGGATGGATGGACACATGGGGGACGAAAGCCCAGGGGTGTGGGCTCAGCAGATTTCAGAGCTGGGCTGGGCAGCAAGACCTGGTGCTCTTTGGTATTAAAATTCCAAATTGCAGGTCATGTGAGTGCTTATATTTATAATTTGAATGTTTATAATTTAAAAGTTAACAAAAATACTGTGTTAAACTACATAGGGACAATCAGGGACTTATGGGTATGATGCTCAAAGACCCAAGTGGACCCCACCCCAGAAGGCATCTATAAACCCTGAATATGATGCAAAAAGGTACAGAACGCGGACAGAAGTAGACAGGCCTGGTGGGATGCATGCTTGCCCGGGGGGAGAGGGGAGCAGAGCTGGATAGGGAAGCCCCTTCTCCACGGCTTGTAGCCTGGACTAAGTATGGTCCCCACAGCAGGGCTGGCAGAGGAGGGGCACATGAGGAAAAACCTGCGCTCTGAGTGGCCTAAAGAACCAGAAGGATGGAGCCAGGAAACCAGGCGCCCTGAAGAGAGTCGGGGTGTCCTCACGAGGGAAACAGCCAGGGAGGGGTGGCCAACTCAGGGCACCCACCTCTCTGAAAAGATGCAGAGCAGCTCCGCTCAAGTCGGGGCCTGAGCTGTCACCCAGGCAACCCTCCAAAAAGAAAGAAAGAATGAACTGAAGCCAAAATCTCCACAACCTAACCTCCTGATGTCCAAAACGCAACAGAAGATTACCGGACACGCAAAGACCCAAGAGGATGGGGCCCATCCTCCAGAGGAGAGAAAACCACGTGAGCCTGACACCAAAATGACGCTCATGGTGGGACTACAGACGGGGATTTTAGAGGGACGATGACACCCGTCCACGATGTTGTAAAACAGCAATGCACATCCAAAGAGTGAAAATGTCAACAGGGCAATAGGAAGTCTTGGCAAATAGAAACTATAAAAAAATACACATGGAAACCCTAGAACTTAAACGTGTCGTTTCTGAAATTAAAAAATTCACAAGACGGACTTAACAGTGAAGGGGGCATTTCAAAGGAAAAAGCAAGTGAACCTGAAAATAGACCAATAGAAACGACCTAAGGTTAAAAAAAAAATGATGGGAATAAAATAAACAGAGCCCCTGGGACATGCTGGTGCCACCAGATGGTCAAGTTTCCAGGCAGCTGGACTACCAAGAAGGAGTTGAAAGAGAGAATGGGTCTCCAGCTGTCCTCGGAAACTTGTAAAACCCAGCGGATGTTGGCCAGATTACTGCACGGTACGGAGGAAGCAGCAGGTCATCACCAGCTCAGGGCCAGATGGATTTGAACCTGACCGACTGACCCCTAAGGGGCATACTTTCTTGCCCCTGCCGTGCATCTTCCGAAAGCTGCCCTGCAGCGACAGTGCCCTTTCCTGCTCCACCTGGTGAGCTCAGCTGCCCCCATGTGGCCTGCAGCCCACACCTGTCACTTCTCTACCCGCCTCGTGTGGCCTCCAGCGCCACAGGGCTCCTCTAGAGCCACTGCCAACCTCCTGCACGTGCCTGCACTAAACCCATCTTCCCTAAGGGCCTCATACACCTCATCTTCCTGCTTAGAAACCGTCGCTGGCTCCCATCGCTGGTACTGCCCCTGGTCTAACTCCTGGCACGCATGGAGGCCCTCAAGGCTTTTCACCCACATTTCCCAGGATTCTGCTTTGGGCATCCTTCCCTATAACCTGGTGGATCTCCTTCCTTGGAATGTCGCAGACCCCCAGGCTGAACCATCCACCTGGATGCCCCTCCCTGAGCCCCGAGACGCGTCTGAGTCCGACCTGTGCTCGGCCGCATCCCAGCACCACCTCCCACCTCCTCCTGAGGCCCTGGGAGGTTTTCCAGACGCAAAAGAGCTGCCCGTCGCCGCCCTCGCCTGCCCCTCCCCTACTTTTCTCTGCAGTGGACTCCCGTCCCAGATAGTCACGTGCTACCCTTCCCAATGGACAATAGAGTCGCCGCGGCCATGAGCATCACTGTAGTCTCCGTTCTGCCCTCCCAGGGCTCCGTATTTTCCACAGGGGGCCCCGCGGAAGCAATGCCCTGGACACCGACACCCCAACGGGGATAAACTGGGGCTGAGGGCCCCCAGCCTGACCCCGCCCTGGAAGCAGAATGGACACTGACCTTTGACCCTGTCGCCACGGTGAAGGGGGATCTCACCATCGACCTGGGGCTGGTAGGGCTTGACGACAACGAAGAGCCTCCCGGGGACCGCGCTGTACAGCTTCCTCTTGGGCCCCGGGTACTCGAAGGCCGAGAGCGCATCCTTGTTGGCGCCTGGCAGGAAAGCCGGACTGCAGGTGAGAGGGGGGCAGAGACAGAGAGGGAGGGTCACGGCCTGAGAGACAGAGCAGGGCACACTCCAGACCCTTGGCCCATCTGTTCATAACAAACGCTGAGCCCCGAGCAGTCACATCGGAGCTCCTGATTCTAGACGGGCCTGGAGACGTGAAAAGGCCCCGGGGGGCAGCATTAGTGCTTAAAAGACTTAGGTAATTCTGGCAGTTCTATTTCTGGGCAGGTACCCCAAAGAAGTGAAGGCATGGCCTCAAACGGATATTTGCACACCCACGTGCATAGCAGCATTATTCTCAAAAGATGGAAACGACCCAAGTCTCCACTGATGGATGAACGGATACCCCAAATGTGGTCCATCCACACAATGGAATATTATTCAGCCTTAAAGAGGGAGGAAATTCTGGCACAGGTGACAACATGAATGAAATTTGAGGACGTTATGCTAAATAAAGGAAGACAGTCACAGAAGGACAGATAATGAGTGATTCCACTTAGGGCAGGTACCTGGTGTACTGAAATTCATAAGCAGGATGGTGGGGGCCAGGGGCTGGCGGAGAGGGAGGGGGAGTTTGCCTTTTGTCAGTTTAGGAAGATGGGGAAGATGGAGATGGATGGTGCGGATGGTCGCACGACAACGTGAATGTACTTAATGCCACTGAACTGCATGCGTAAAAATGGGTAAGATGGTAAGTTTTATGTGCATGTTTCAGTTTAAGAAAAACTCCAGTGGAGGCAGCAATCAAGGGAGGCCCTGGGTCTCTGCCATTTTCTGTCTCACTGTGAGCGCCAGCCACACCATGTGAGGAAACACCCAAAACCTACTGGCGAAAGCCTGCATTATCGCTGTGCAGGCAGCCCACGCCCAGCTGCCCTGGTGACATTTCACAAGTGGGACTTTAATTCTTTCCTGTTTTATGTGACTATATCACAAAGAGCGTGTGTTTCTAGGTCAACTTCCCTGCCTGACAGTGAGCATGGACATCTAACTTAATGGGGCCCAACCGTGGGATATAAGAGAGACAGAGAGACAGAGAGTGAGAGAGAAGCACACGTTCCCAGAGAAACGTGCAAAGTGGTTTTCCGTGACGACATTCCCATGTCACTGTGACGGTTGATGGGTGGCCCGGGTGACTCCTTCTGGAGAGAAGAGAGCACGTTCTTTTTTATTTTATTTTATTTATTTATTTTTTCTTGGCGCTACGCGGGCCTCTCACTGCTGCGGCCTCTCCCGTTGCGGAGCACGGGCTCCGGACGCGCAGGCTCAGCGGCCACGGCTCACGGGCCCAGCCGCTCCGCGACGTGTGGGATCTTCCCGGACCGGGGCGCGAACCCGCGTCCCCCGCATCGGCAGGCGGACTCGCAACCACTGCGCCACCGGGGGAGCCCGAGAGCACGTTCTTATCACTCGTAATCTGGAGGAGTCATGCTGAGCTCTCCTTCCATGTGGGGTCTTTAGAAAAAACCCAGGCATGTGGATGAACCTGGGCAGGGATTCAGGGGTGATGGTCCAGAGCCTCCTGGTCAGAAAGACAAGAAAAGCATTCACGGCCGGCTGGTGTCTCCCCAAGAGGACAACCCGCCACGGGGAAAAGGAATATTAATAATACTTGAGGAAGGTTCCCGAGTCAGGGAGCCACATCTGAGTCTCGGGAGGGGGGCCACTCATGTCACAAATTCATGGCCGTGAAGGGTGGGGTCCTCAACTATGGTTCTCCTTTGGAACTACAGATGCCGTGGCCTGGGAGCCCACACAGGGAGCTGGAGCTTCCTGCAAGGACGAAGTTCTCACCTTGAGGTGTGAAGCAGGCTTGCAGGGAATATTCTAGAATATGATGTGACCGTTCACTTTCGGGATTTAACGCGAACCCCCCATGTTCCTTTTGTGCTGTGCTTTACCCACGTCAGCACCCCTGATACATAACGTATGGTCTGCTTTACGCTTGTGAGAATTCACGGAAGCATGACTGTGCTGTATTTTGCCATGCTTTTTACTTTTTCGCTCATGGTGATGAGCTGGCCACAGGAACCCATGTCTACACGCGGGACATGCTCAGTTTACACCCTAATTTATTCTAGTCAGGTGAGAAGGATCGACCGTCAGATCTGCCTGCCCGACCCCAAAGCTCAGAGCTCTCCCTAAACCACACGGAGCAGAGGGCGGGCATGTGACCTTTCCCAGGTGCTCGCCTGGGCTCAGAGACACAGAGAGTGGACAAGCCACAGTCCTCATGCTCTCCTGTCCCCAGGGATGCCCTCTCTCCGGCCTCCTCGACCCCAGCCTTCCCTGACCAAGTTGAAGCCACAGACGGAGGTCACAGCATCCTGGGAAACAGGTGCCCCTGTCAACTCTGGCACCACCAGGCAGCCCTGCCCGGCGGCCTTCCTGTCCCTCCCCACTTCCTTCTCCCCACCCAGCCGGCTACAGATCGACGTGCACAGATGGGAAAACCCACCATCCTCTGGATGGATATCACTGATCCCCTAACACCCCAGGAGCCCAGAGCTGCGACGCCTGCAAGAGCCAGGTTGTGTGACCGCCTCTGGTCCAGAGGTGACAGTTGGCAAGGCAGCTGACGCACAGAGGAAGGACAATCTGGGCCACCCGCCTGTGGTGGAAAAGACCCGGGAAAAGTAGAGCAGCCCTCAGAGTTCCCGCCTGCGAGGACGTCCCGCCCACCTTCTGCGTCAGGAGGAAGATCCATCCGTTCAATGTGCCTCAACTCAGCCTTACTGGGAGCTCGGCGGGGAGACAGCGCCTTTGCCACAAGGGGCTGAACATCATCAGGGGTCTCCTCTCCGGCTCCCAGGCCAGGGGACCGTGAGTCCTGGTAACCAAGGGGACTCGGTCCCTCGGCAATAGGGAAGTGTCCCTTGGGGCCACTCCACCTGGACTCAAGGGTTCAGAAGAGGCTTGGGGTCAGCAGAGGGCAGGCGCTCCAGGGGGGCACCCCACACCAGGCTCAGAAGGCCTCCTCTCCCCAGACCTCCGCAAACAGTGTTTGGATCTCCCCCGATGCACCTGCCATGTCTGCACTGAGCGATGGCCGGGTGGGGCCCACCACACGGGGCTGCTAGGAGGATCAGGGAAGGAAAACAGACGAAGCTCCCCCTCTCTGCCCCCCGCCGGCTCTGTCACTGAAGCTTTGATGGCAGTTATCACCTCTGCATCTGACCATCACCCAGGCTGGCCTGGGAGCCATGCAACACAGGGCTATATCTACACCATCTCCATGCCCCCATCCCTGGTTGGGGGGTGCAGTAGTGGGTGCTCAGAAGTGCCTGATGCGTTAAACCCCAGTAAGAGACTGCAGGTTGTCCTACCAAGGAGGTCACAGATGGGCCGCACGGACACTCCTGGACAGGAGGTGTGGCTGCAGCAGACACCAGGGGCGATGAGCGGAAGGGCAGGTGGGCCCATGAGTTGGTCCCCAAGCACCAGAAGGGGACATGACTCTGAGGGCAGCAGGGTTAAGGCAGGTGGGCTTCTCCCCCAGGGGAGGGGGTGGGTCAAAGTCCAGAGAAAAGATAAAGATGGACCATGCTGATGATGGCTGGGGCAGGGCAGAGGGTAAGCAGCACAGCTGGGGCTGCCAGACCTGCCTCCCAGCTGCTGGTCAGCTGCTTCGGGAACCACATGAGGAGCCCAAGGAACCCCACTGTGCGTAATCAACAACAATCAGCAAGGAGACTGCGTCCAACCTGAAAACTTGATCCTCAGGAGAAATCCATCCAGCTGCCCGTCTCTCCACCTACACTCCCATCCAGCCATCCGTCGACTCACCTATCCATCCATACATCCATCCATTCATCCTCCATCCATCCACCCATCATCCACCCACCCACCCATCCAATCATCCATCAACTCACCTGTCCATCCATACACCCATCCATCCATCATGCATCCGACCATCCATCCATCATCCAGCCATCCATTCACCTATCCATCTATCCACCCATGCACTCACTTATCCATCCATACACCCATCCATCCATCCTCCATCCATCCATCATCCATCCAACCATCCATCGTCCACCCACCCACCCATCCATCCAATCATCCATCAACTCACCTATCCATCCATACACCCATCCATCCATCATCCAGCCATCCATTCACTTATCCATCTATCTACCCATCCACTCACTTATCCATCCATCCATCCATCCATCCATCCATCCATCCATCCATCCATCCGTCTTACCACTTATACAAACATTATGTATTCACTCATTCATCCAAATTTCAAAAGAACCCTGCCAGAAGCCCAGCTGATCACTTACCACCAGATGCTGGATAAGTCAGTTAACCACTGGAAGCCTCGGTTTCCCCGTGTGATAAGAGGGGATGATCTGGAGAGACCTGAGAG